TAACATTACCTGATGATTATACACCTAAAAGACTTTTGTTTATTCTTGCAGTTTTACAAACTTGATATAAATCACACCCACACAGATGATAAATTGGAAGCAAGACATAATGACTAATGATCAAATGATTCACTTATTACACACAGGTCAGCAAACTATTTTTGGTTAAAATACTCATGAATCAAGTGACTGATTAATCAAAATGCCAAGGACAAGTTATGAAATGAAACTTGTGCTATTAACATATATACACATTTTTGGTGTTCGTGATCTTCAGGATTACAATCATAACGTTAGCTAAAGGACTTTATCATTGGAAAATCCCAGCTAGTTTAGTAAAAGAAATTTGAAATGGCCACACAGCTTTAGCTGTGAGATTGGCGTCCTTTAGCCATAAAGTCTATTCCATGGCCTTTAAAGAGGATTACGCTCATGTTTGAGCCTGACGGGATAGCCAGGACACTGCAGACTTACGCCACAGCTGAAAGGATTTCCAGTCCTGACAGTGAGCCAAGCTACAACAGTCAACACACAAACAAACATTTTTAAATAAACTCCACATAATGGACAAACATAAAATAGTTCGGCTATACGTGGCTAACTTCTAGTTCAGCACTTGGTTATATTGACAATTTAGTGGATTACCTACAGTAAATACACCTAAATGTTTGGAAGATGGATTCAATTTGGGATGTTTTCGATATCGCAATGTGTGTGTCCACAACCGTCACGTCACAGGATATGCAATGTTGAGGGACTATAGTGGATCAGCACAACAATTCAAAAAACTGGAGTATTTGCAATGTATAACCATAACAGATTGAAACTTCATTTGTATGTGTTTCAAAGGCATTCAGGCACAAAAGTAAAACATTTTATGAAGAATAATTAATACAATGAAGACTTGACAGTGTTTCATTATTTAGTTTCTGTGCCTGAATGCTGTTAAGGAAACCATAAAGCACTGTTTATTTGACTTTTTTTCTTTGCTCTGTTGTATTTATTCTTGCTACCAATTTGTTTATTTTTATATTCGATTTACACGCTTACAAAATCACGCCAATCAATTTAAAATTTAAAGTTATTTTCCAATGACATTCAAGTCATCTGGTGAAGTCTTATCGCAATTTATTCAACAGTTCTGTCAGGTTCTTGAATCTGAAGCCGATAGCTGTGCGATATTCTGCAAATAACAGCACTCATCCAGCATCTTCGCACTTCACCCTTGTTTATTACTCCACCCACATACAACGACAAGCAGAGGACACTACAGTTGACAAATATAGCTGCTGTTGGGCAACATTATGTACTTTCGAGGCTTTTTAGATGAGAATGTAGTTGTTTAAATGGCAACTATGCAGTTTATTTATAAGGATAGTGGCTATTTTACAAATTCATAATTTCTGAGAGACAGCGCATCGGCGGCTATTAGCCTGTCTTTGAGCAAAGACGGCTTGCGATGTTCATCCACAAGATTGCCACAGAGACCACATAATAAGCCCTAGGAGAAAAACTACTTTCAAAGTACAGCTGATCGAATTATCATTAAACAGGTAAATGACTTTCTTAATCGATCTCTCTCTCTCTCTTGTATGTTGTGGTGCTGTATTTATATCATAGTAATATCGTGATTTCCCGATTGAAATACTGGGCAGTTCAGCCTTATAATCTTAAAATGTGAGCAAAATCACCTGTTTTATCGTTACTGTAGATATTACGCTAGAGAATCATTCAAACACTAGCTGTAAAGTGACGTTGGTGAAGCAGCAACGGATTCTGCTGTTCTGACATCTGCTGCAGATGTGAATGAATGACGGACGAAAGTAGTTTCTAATGGTGCTTTCACACCTGCCTTAGTTCAGTTGAATCGCACTAGAGTTAGTTTTCCCTCTTGGTGCAGTTCGTTTGGGCAGGTGTGAATGTAGCAATCATACTCGAGTGCGCACCAAAAGCGGACCAAAAAAGCGTACCGAGACCTACTTGAAGAGGTGCTCTTGGTACGCCTTTAAATGAACCCTGGAGCGGTTCGTTTGTGGTGAGAACATGATCCAAACTAAAACAGACCCAACTGCAAAAAGTACTGCGCCCTTTTTAGACTAATCCAGCTGCCGTAGGCCGATGCGCTGCGCATTATGGAATGTGGAGAAAAAAATGAGTTGACAGCGCTTTACCAACAAAGAGAGAAAGTGGAAAACATTACCTGACGGATCACTGGTAATATTTCCGGAAGATGACCATGTCGCAGTTTGGCTAAATCATTTGCAATGTCTTAAAACATTGTTTTTCAGCCGCACCTCATTCTTGAAATGTATAGTTTGTCTAAATTGATGTTTACAAACTATATAGAATACTATGAGCAGAGATGCAATCAGCCAGCGCAGTCGTAGCTCCATGTAGTTAAAAGCAACATTTTGTGTCTGATGGTTTGTTTACTTGCGGCAGTTTCACTGGCATTTTCCAGCACATGAATTCTGACCAGTCGAAAAGCAGTTTAGGAAATACGTTTAACAACATCTGGCCAATGAGTGATGTGGATTTTGTCACATGACTGCATTTTGGTTCTTTTCTACTGGTTCGGACCAAAGCCAGCAGTGTGGTGTGAAAACGACCCAAAGACAGCAGAAAATGCTACAATGTATCATTTATTGCCCTTGATCCGGAACAAATGAAGCGAACTACAGATGTGAAAGCACCTAAATACAAAAGGGTTTTTGAGACTCTCCGTGTTTGACTTTCTTTTTTTATATACACGATTGTGCTGTCCAACTGTTGTATAAATGCAATATCACAATCGTAGCAGTGCGATATGGCTGTATATCGTCACTGGTGGGACATTAAGGCCTCCAACGCATGCCTCCCACCAGTACCGATATACAGCAATAATCGCACTGCTAAGTGTGATATTGCTCATATATAACACAGAAATATTAAATATCGCAATGTCAGGTTTTTACAATATCGTGCAGCGCTAGTTTCAATCATTAAATTTATATAAAAAAATTAAAACGTGATCATAAAAAAAACTGTGAATTGCATGAAATCAGAAAGTCAGAACTGGTTAATGTTGTTGCATGTCTGCAGTTCTGACACATTGGTAAATGATACTATTTGTCATTTTGATTCAATTCTGTGTGAAAATTGAGAATTGCAAGATGTAAACTTGCAAATTTGAGTTGCTTGGTGACTTAATTTGTTTGGGAAAAAAATGAATTTGTCAAAATTGCAAGACGTTAAAGGCTGATTTATACTTCTGCATCAAGCACACGCTTCAGCACAACCTTCGAGTGGTCACATAGCCCTCGCCATGGTAAAGTCTAGATAGGATAGCTGTGGATACGCACATCAATATACCATCATTTTAGTAACACTGTACAACAATTAATATTTTTACAGTACTGTGATGATTGGGTTTAGGCATTAATAAAACTTTTTTTTTGGTAATTTAATAAATAATTCTCGGTACAAATACTGCTTTTACATTACTGTGACGGTTAAGGTGGGGGTAGACGTCAACAAAAGGGAAATTTAATTTAATACCCCTCACTGTGGCTGACACCGACCTCTCAAAAAATGTAACCACGTCGCATAGCGCTAGCTTAGTGATTGGTCGGCTTGGTAGCTGTGACCAGTGTGGGCGGAGACTGAGAGCCACGGGAATTCGTTGGAGTGAGTGTTTACATGTGTCGAGTTTTGTGAAGTAGATCTAGAGCAGAGATGCCCAAAGTAGGGCCCATGGTAACCTTTGATTTGGCCCGTCAGCACATCTGAAATGCAAGAGAATGATAGAAAGGGTTGGAGCAAACTCCTTTGACAGAGATAATCATTTTGAATTTAACATAACTTTGTTTCTTTGTATTATTGCTGAGATACAAAAAAAAAAAAAACAAGCTATGTAAAAATTAAATGATTCAATTAAATTGTGCAAATGAATCAGTCTTTTAAAATGTAAATACTGTCACTTGATAGGACAATGCACAAGTTATCTGCGAGCAAATCAAGGTGAAGGCAAGAGCAGCTCAACCAGTGTTTTAGCATTGAACTCCATGGTGTTATAAATGGAACAGTTCGTGTTTTTACTGTAGTAAGTTAATGAGTTTCCCAGTACTGGGTTACAGCTGGAAGGGCATTCGCTACGCTGGGTGACCCCTAATAAATAAGGGACTATATGCCACAGGAAAATGAATGAAAAAAGTTAATGATTTAAAGTAAAAATTTCCATTTAATTTTTTTTTTTTTTTTAATATTACCAAATAAATTAGGAAATTCCCCTTGGCAAATTTATTGTAATACAGTTCGGTATGTATTCAGCCCACAATCAAGTGTAGTCTTTGGCCCTTTATAGGAATAGCTTGGGCAGCCCTGCTCTAGATGGAAACTGTTGTTTTGGGCTTACCTTATTGTAATGTTGTTGCATGTCCGCCTGTTTCTGCCTTTGAATGAGCATGTTTTAGCTACTTGAACATTAAGGTAGGGGGAAAAAAAAAAAAAATGCCAGCTAATGTTACAGAAGGGTTATTGCAGAGCAACACATACAGCACCCAGGAGTATAAATGCACAAGGCAGGCACTGTGGGTCACATCACTCGACACAGAGGTATAAATCAGCCTTTAGCAAGCATCACAAGCCGCCTGGTCAACCTTTTATTGATAGGCTATCCTTGTTTTAATTGCGTATTACCATTTATCAGAGTTGTGCAAGTATATTATACAATGCAGGCGTAGGCCAAAAAAATAATGAGTGCACCTTAAAGGGTAATGAATGTACACAAGTCAAAATTGACAATTAAAGATGTACACACAATGGTCTTAATTGTAAAAAACAGCCTTACAACATTATGACAACTTTTCCTTCTGTTTCACACAGTTTGGTGTGAAGTCAATGCACAAACCTTTCATTTCAGCCATCTAGATTTAAACTTCTCTTCTGAGTCCTGAAATAAGATTAAACCTTCGCTACATAATGGTTTATCATACTCCAATAAAAAGACAAACAGCCCCATGTGCAAAGTCACATACATTTTATTGTCCTTGGTAAAAAGATCATGCAGTTGAGTGTATCTATCATAAAACGTTCACAAGCATCAACAAATATTCAGTATCTAATCCAGACCAGCCTGGAATTAGTGGTCCGGTTGAGGTCATTATGAAGATTCGAGCTTGAAACAACTGCAAAAAAAAAAAAAAAAAAAAAAAAAAAAAAAAAAAAAAAAAAAAAAAAAAAAAAAAACCCCAAACAGTTTTTACCCTGCTGTCAGTGTTGTTAGCATATGGTCACAAAAACCCTGCCATGAATGTACTAGGATTGCTACATGCTGGTGCAGTCCTGTAGAAAACAGCCCCCCCTTTTAAAAACCGTGAACCTTCAACTGCTCCTCTTTTACAATGTTGATCTGTGGGTGGGGAGAGAAATTAAGTTAGTATCAGTGTATTATTAAAGAAAAAAAAAAAAAAAAAAGTTTAAAAGCCATGTTAGCATCCAAGGCTATTTTCATGACAACAACAACAATAATAATAATAATAATAGCAAAAACAAGTTGTACAATAATTTTATTAAATTAAAAACAAATTGTACACAAGATTCATGAAAAGAAAAAAATATATATGTAGTACGCTTAAATGCCATGTCAGCATCTTAGGCCATTTTCACGACAAAAGCATTAACGTTATTAATTTCAATAATAACATTGATTATTATTAATAATAATAATAAAAATTATAAATAGCAGCCAAACAAGTTGTGCACAACATTTATGAATAAAATCATACACCAAAAATGCCATGTTTGCATCTATTTTCATGATAAGTATAAATAATAATAATAAAAAGCTAAAAACTAGTTGTACAAGTAGCATCTTGGGCTACTTTAACAAGCATAAATGTTGTTATTATTATTATTAATATAAATAATGCAACCAAACAAGTTGTACAAAAGATTTATGAATAAAATGAAAGTAACTAAAATGCCATGTCAACATATTAGACCAAAGCAAAAAGCATAAAAAAAAATTAAGCGATTTTTTTTTTTTTTTTTTTAACTAAATGGTATTTAAATGCCATCTCAGGATCTTAGGCCATTTACATGGCAAAAAAAGATACAAGTACAAATAATAATAATAATAATAATAATAATAATAATAATAATAGCAACTAATCAAGTTTTTTTTTTATAAAAATAGTACATCTAAAATGCCATGTCAGCATCTTAAGCCAGTTTCATGACCAAAAAAATAAATAAAACAAATATAAACACTGAGAATTTTAAATATAAATTCCACTGAGAAACAGCTTGCGTTAGCACTCCACACATTCACTGAAAACACACACACACACACACACACACACACACACACACACACACACTTGCCTCTAGCAGAAACTGACAGATATTCTTCCTCTGGTCTCCCTGTAGCTGAATCACCTCTCCATACTCCGGGTGCTCGATCACTGTCCCATTGCAGGCAAATTTCTATTTGATAAAACACCATCATATTACTCTGTGCCAGAAAACACTTTGGGAAAACGTCATCAGTAATCGAGTCGGCCGTTACCTTTTTGAAGGCTTTCACAAGCTTCTTTTTATCATAATCATCAGCGATGCCTTGCACTGTGGTCAGCGTTTTGCGGCCGTTTCGTTGCTGAATCCTTATATGGATTTTATCCTCCGTCCCCGCCGGGAGCAAGTCGTCACCCTTAGTTGCATCAGCAAAGGGATCTAAAAAGAGACAAACACTTCAGTCCCACTGCTGAGAGAATGTGGATTACAGAACATCTTGTGCACTCACAAATTAACAAATGCAAGCATTTATATGGACTAGATTTCAAATTTGAATAGAAATGCGAGTTATAGCGATAAATTAGAATATATATGCAGCTTTCATCATTAAGATGGGGTCTTTTAGGTCACTTCCTAACCCACATAATCCATTCAATTCAGTTTAGAAGTGCACATTTACATAAATAGACCCTTTTGGAGCAAATCAGTGTAAAACATCCAAGACTGCATTCTGTCCTTCATAATCATTGCTTTATGTATATATTATTAATAATAAAAAAGGTTCTAGCCATTTATATTTAAAATATAACGTTACATATAGATTATAGACAGAATAGTCCATAATAATAGATCTAACTATTTATTAATTAAATACTAAATACATGGTAGACACCGCATTAAAAACATGGTAGCACATTTCATTTTATAATGAAATCCTTTTATAAAGATAATGACTCTGGAATGAATGAGATTAAAAACATGAAAAAATATTAACATATGACGACTAGTTTTCTTATACAAACAATTTTCATCATTAAAATTGGAATTTTTAGGTCTCTTCCTACCACACAATGCATTCAGGCCAGTTTAGAAATGCTTATTTACATAAATTGAACATTTAGAGCAAATTAGTGTAAAAAATGTATATGGTATTCTGCCCTTCATAACGACGTGTAAAAATGTTCTAGCTAATCATTTATAATATATAGACATGCATGATGAAAAGAGCAGCCCACAATAATATATCTCACGGTTTACTAATTTATATTAAATACATGGTAGATGCCACTATAAAAACATAGTAACATTTAAAATAAGCCAAGTTGTGACCATTTTATAATAACTGTGGAATGAATGTGACGACATGAAAATATTAACACAAGTCGACCAGTTTCTTAATACAAGCTATTTATCATTAAAATATGGACTTTTAGGTCACTTCCTACCACACAATGCATTTAGGTCAGTTTAGAAAAGCTAATTTACATAAATTGACCATTTTGAGCAAATCAGTGTATAACATTGACTGCATTCTGTCCTTCATAAGCCGAATATGCGTATAAAAAGGTTCTGGCTACTTATTTTTAATACATATACACGCATAGATAGAAAGAATCTCACAAAAATAGATCTAAATGATTGATTAAATACATGGCGGATACCGGGTAAAAAAATAAAATAAAAATGGCAACATTGAAAATAAGTTGTGACCATTTTATAACTACAACGACTCTTGAATGAATGCAATTAATGACCGTTTAAAAATATTTTAACAAATTATTAGTTTCATTTTAAAAACGGTTTATTAAGATGGGGGCTTTTCGGTCACTTCCTATCACACATGGTCAGTTTAAAAATGCCAATTTGCATGAATTTGGACCGTTTTGGAGTGAATCAGTGTAAAACACTTCTTCAGACTGTACTCAGTCTTTCATAATTCTGAATAGGCGTATAATAAAAGGATTTTAGCCATTTACTTTTAATATATAGATGTATAGATGGATTATAGAAAGAGTAGCCAATAGTAATACATCTAAACTAATTACATGACAATAGATGCCACATTAAAAACATGGTAACACCTAAAATAAGCCAAGTTGTGATCATTTTAAAACTACGACCACTAATAAATGTGATTGGCATATGAAAAAATATGAACATAAATGGCGACCAGTTTCCTTATACAAAGTTTATCAACAAAATTAAAACTTTTGGGTCATGTCCCATCACAGTGCATTCAGTTTTTTTACACTGATTCACATACATTTGGACCATTTTGAGCAAATCTGCATTCTGTCCATCATAAAAAAAAATGCTGAATATGCGAAAAGATAGAAAGATTAGCTCACAAAAATATACATCTAATGATTTATTAATTAAATACATGGTAGATACCACGTTAAAAACACTAACACTGAAAATAAGCCAAGTTATGATCATTTTATAACTATAACGACTCTACAATAAATGTGATTGAGATATGAAAAATATGTTAATGAAAGAACCAGTTTCCTTATACAAACAGTTTTCATCAACAAAATGGAGACTTCTAGTTCATTTCCCATCACACAATGCATTCAGGTCAGTTTTTACATTGATTTACAAACATTTGAACCATTTTGAGCAAATCAGTGTAAAACATTCAGACTGCATTCTGTCCTTTATCACACAAAAAAAGCTAAATATGCAAATAAAAAGCGTTTTAGCTATTATTTTTATTATATATAGAAAGATGGAAATATTAGCTAAAAAATACATCTAATGATTTATTAATTAAATACATGGTAGATACCACGTTAAAAACACTAACACTAAAAATAAGCCAAGTTATGACCATTTTACAAAAGATAACGACTGTGGAATGTGTAAAATATAGGCTTTAAACACATGGGATTATGAGGATTAAAGGCTTAGCAGACATTTTTCATGACCTTTGCTTTAACTTTTAATTACGGCAGCTTCTTACTGTAACTACTCTGAGTTTATAATGTTACACAAGAAAAATATTTGATTAAAATGTAGTATAGTCCTCAATGGAGTCCTCGAGGAAAACAAAATTTAAAATACATGTTTTTCTCCCTAATGTTTTTTCTCGTGATATTTTAAGATGTTCAATAAATACGTTTAATAAAATGTCGGCAGAAATGCATTTGTTTGCATTAAAACCAAGCGACAGCAAGAAACAATGCGCTGCTGCCGCCTTTGTAAACTCGACGCGAGCAACTTACCAAAGGACTGGAGGTTCTGTATATTGGACATGCGATATTACTGCGGTTACTTCGACGGATGAAAGATGTCGGCGATCGGAGCCGCTTAAACCAGCAGTTATTTTACAAAACAACGTCGAAATCACCGAGCGGCTGCTTGTAATCTGCCTTAAGGCGAGTCGCAGTGAGTCTGTAGCGCGTGGCTCAGAGCGGAAGTGCTTTAATGCGCGATGACAAAAGCCTGTAAGTGAATCTGCAGCTGCGCTTAATTTAGCGGATATATGTATATATGTTGATAAATAAACGCGTTTCTTTAGGTTCACTTTGTTTGTTACTTTTGTGTATTTAGTTTATATTTTATTTTAAGTAGTTACTAAGAAAAAATAAGCACCAATTCCATCAAAAACAAATAAATAAGTGGCTGTTTATACGTGTGGGGTTTTAATCAGTAGCGATTTTAAGAGTTTTTATGTTCGTATTATTCTATATGATGTATTTTTTAGATAAATAAATATGTACAGCAGCCATATTAAGTGTGTATGTAAACCATTCAGTGGCGGAAGCGTTGTAAGATTATTTTATTATAATTATTTCGGCAGTTTTCTGGCACGGGGAATGGTTAAACATAGTAAAATAGCCCTCTTGCAAGAATAGCATTTAATCCGTATTATTTTTTTTAATATATGGAATTATAAACGCTTTATTTGCTAGCGGATTTACTCAATATTGTGGGTCTTTAAACAACCCGGAAGTAAAGCCACACAAGCACTTGGCTCACAGTTAAACGCTTGAAGACAATTACAGCACACCATTTTGTTTGCAGCGTAATTTCGTGCTATTATAAAAATATTTATGCATTCCAGCGTGCTGTTTTATGGCATATATATACATTAAACATCGTGATAATATGTTGTACTGGCTACGAGCCCCTTCATCTAGGGATTATAGTATTGCGGCATCATGATACATGAACACTAGATGGCGCTAAGGAGTGATTATTTGGCTTATATAAATTAAATAAAGTAATACTTATTAAAAATTATAAAACAAAAAGAAAGATGTGATTTCATTTGGTTAAAGTAAATAAATTGATATATGTTTATATATATATTTCTACATAACATAAAATATTATTATTTGAAGTAGGCTATAGATATATGGGACATTCTACCATGAATGTACATTGTCTGTCCCTGAAATAAAAACATAAATAAATTGAATGAAAAGTATGTGTTTTACGCATGCCCTTTCAGCTGCAACCCAGTACTGGAAAACACCCATACACTCTCACATTCACACACACTTCAGACAATTTCGCCTACACCGCATATCCTTGGACTGTGGGGGAAACCCACGGGGTAAACATAAAAACTTTACACAGAAATGCCAACTGATTTAGCCGAGGCTCGAACCAGTGATCATCTTGCTGTGAGGCAATCGTGCTATCCTGCGCCACGTGACGCCCCTACATTGGTTTTGTTAACTTTTATTTAATTATTAAAATTGTTTAATGTTTAATTTTTAGAAAAAATATTTGTATGATTTGTTTTTACATTACATGAAATTATTATTATTACTAGTTTTTAAAATAAGAATTAAGAATGCAATATTTGGTGAAATAAAGCTGATTTTCGATCACAACAAGCGAAAACATTTATTTAAAAAAAACTCAAAATTAATTCAATTCATTTAACATTTTACTCAAAGTTAGGATCTTTATGCAAATATTTATTTGGGGGTGTTTTAAATTATTGAAAACCCAACCCATTGAAATCTTTAATGTTCTACTTCAAGGGCTCCCAAAACTTTTTAGTCCCTGACCCCTAAAATAACAATGCCAGTGACTTGTGGCGCCCAAATACCTCTTAGGTGTTATTGATATGCAAATGTTGCTCATACAACATTAGGCCTATATACACACGAGCATATTGATAACACAAAAATCTGCAACAGTCTAACAACCATATCATTTTCATTCATTCATTCATTTTCTTTTCGGCTTAGTCCCTTTATTAATCCGTGGTCGCTACAGCAGAATGAACCGCCAACTTATCCAGCACATGTTTTTTCGCAGTGCATGCCCTTTGAGCTGCAACCCATCTCTGGAAAACATCCACACACACTCATTCACACTCATGCACTACGGACAATTTAGCCTATACTCAATTCATCTGTACCACATGTCTTTGGACTTTGGGGGAAACCGGAACACTTGGAGGAAACCAGGGAGAACATGCTAACTCCACACAGAAACGCTGACTGACCCAGCCGAGGCTTGAACCAGCAACCTTCTTGCTGTGAGCCGACAGCACTACCTGCTGCCCCACTGCGTCGCCCATATCATTTTCATAGTCATTTATTAATTTGTTTAATTTGATGTAAACCTAAATTTATTCCACTGATGGACTATTCCAAGTCTATTCTTGGTTTAATTTTGGAGATGGCTAATCAGAGATCATCCTCATTGTTCAGTGGTGGCCTGTATTTATTTTTAATGTATTTGAATGCTATAAAGGTGTCAGAAAGTTTAACCTGGTGCTATGTACCCACTTTGGGAACTACATGTACTGTTCAACTAAAGGGGAAAATATTACATATATCATGAATGACTGGTCATATCCACCAGGCGGCATTCAAGACAACCATTGGTGATATAATTTACCACCGAAGAAGTGAAGGCGCACGTACAGCGATTGACTCGATGAATTTAACAACGCTGCCTCTATTTTCACAAAGGAACGGTTGGAATTTCCGATGAGATTAACAACACCGGTGGCGATACCCTAAGAACAGGACAGCGGTGGGTCTGACAGGAGCACAAGAACACTTCTCAGCGAAAAACACAAGCAAAATATGTTTTCTCTGCCTACAAGCTTTCAGTCACAGGTATGAAGACTTTCAGATGTTTTAAATACAAGTTGTCAAAGACTATTTATGTGTATAAACGAGTAGTAGTTATCGAATACACTGATGGACTAGAGAGAGAAACATGGCAGTGTGTGAGATGAATGTGGATTTTAAAAACAAACTTTTGATCATGCAAATGTAAACCAAATAGATATAATAATAGTGATACTACATGTTATTTAATTAACGGAGCTGTTTCTGGAACGTTCTGTCCTTGTTTGGATGATGTATGGTCAACCATACTACTGATTACATCATCTGGTCGACAGTATTGATAACCCAAACTATTTAACGTTATTGAGATTATTCTTCATTTTTATTTACTGTTGACTGAGAACTTACGGTAAAAGCGAATTAAATTACAAATAAATTGAGTTATTTTATACTTTTATGATGTAACAACAGTACCTTCATGTTACTCCAGTAACAGCAGCAAAAGCTATTGAGATTGGATTTATATTCGCACATTCGTAATACTTTTCTGAAACTGTTATTATTGAGAAGAAAGGCTGAATGTGTGAATTTAAAACCAACTTTACCTCAATGTAAAAGCTGTATGAGAGTTTAAGTATGTACGTGCTAGTGTGTGTTTCAGTAGTGTGTCAGTATGTCAGCAGTGACATAACTGACCTGTAGACAGTGCCACTGTAGTGGCAGTCATATATAGAAAGCTTATCACCCACTGTGGCTGATAGGTGATGGATTTTCAACTTATTATGGTTTATAAAACAATAATTATTTGTCCAACTATTTCCTTTTGAGGTAAAGTGTGTTTTATATTTACAGATTTAGGCTTTCTGCTTTGTAGTATGATTTCAGAAAAGTATTATGTAGTGAAATCATATTAGAAGACAATGACTATCAAAGTACAACATTGTTCGCAGTCAAATAAATAGTGCTAATGTTGTTTTGAAGTCATACTTGCATGTGATTTCAGACTGAATATTCAAAGTACCATGGTAAATAATATAGAGAGCATATCACAAGTTATCACTGAATGAATGTGCAAATATAAAACCAACTTTCTCCCAACAGTTATGCAATTTGACCAAAATGTGTCTTTATTTTAAGGGAACAGTGCCTTTGACCCATCTGATCAATGTGGTCCAGTACCTGAAGAGTTCAGCCAACTCGGCCGTAACTGCATCAGTACAGAGTCTGCAGAAAGACCTTTCACCTGAACACGACCCACTTCACTATGAGGTAGGACAGTCACGGGAACGGCACGCACTACACTTCAGAGAGATGATAGAGTTCATGTTTACTACAGGGCTATTGGGGCAAACAAAAAAAAAGAATATACATTTCACGAAACTGAAAAGAAAGATCAAACATTTTACGTTTTTCTAGTTGCCTAAGCATCTTTTTTATTTTCCTTTTCATTTAGTTTAGCTTGATTTACTGAAACAACCAATATTGAAGTACATAACTCTATGGAAAAATGTCAAAACATAAAACACAATAAATAAAATCTTGATTCCTATAAACCTTTTTCTTGGAACGCAAAATTACCCATTATGCTTTGCGTGTATGCGCAAGGAGAATGCGAAGAACTTCCGGTCGGCAGCTGATGCGTGTAAACAGTCACATTTGGACAGCTTTGAAACGATAGTTGTAATCTATTTTACCTGCTTTTATCCTCTTTGAACTAATACTGTTGTCCATCAGCACCATCTCCTGGACTGATCATTTAAAGAAATGCGATCTAATAGGATGGAAATCAGCTGCTGTGAGGCATTTTCCCCTCGTTGTCAGACGACATCTTCTGCAGTTTAAATGAAGCCTTGTCATCGCTAAAGTCAACATTTTCTCTTCATTTCAAATATATAACCAGCCCAAACAAATGTTACTCACCAAAATGTTTCACACACACACGTAGCCTGTACTGTGCCACTGACACACTGATTTAATAACTGACAAAGTGAAAATATAGGCTAGTGTCATTTCAAAATGACAGAAAAACACAAACCCTGGTGAATACAACACACGAAATAAAACACAAACGGCTCGCGATTAGAATGAACAGCAAACCAGCCAGCCGAGGATCAATAACAGACTTTTATTGGTCATTTTTGTAAATTGCACGGCTTTCATACCTGTTAAGTTTCATGCCAGTACTCTGGTTTTCTCTCTCTCTCTCTCTCTCTCTCTCTCTCTCTCTCTCTCTCTCTCTCTCTCTCTCTCTCTCTCTCTCTCTCTCTCTCTCTCTCTCTCTCTCTCTCTCTCTCTCTCTCTCTCTCTCTCTCTCTCTCTCTCTCTCTCTAACAGCTGACAGGCCGGGAACGCA